AAAAAAAAAAACAAAAAAAAAAAAAAAAAAAAAAAAAAAGGCCCAAATCCATGCAATTAGGAATGAAAAGGGTGAAATTGCAATGGGCCAGCAGAAATTCAAAGGATCATCAATACCTATTTCAACAACCTACACACCAATAAGATGGAAAATACAGAAAAAAATGGACAGATTCTTAGATACATATAAATTACCAAAGTTGAATGATGACCTAAAAATTCTAAGTGACCCAATATCAATTAAATTGAAAACATAATTAAAACCATCCTAAGAAAAGCATGGATGGGCCAGCAGAAATTCAAAGGATCATCAATACCTATTTCAACAACCTACACACCAATAAGATGGAAAATACAGAAAAAAATGGACAGATTCTTAGATACATATAAATTACCAAAGTTGAATGATGACCTAAAAATTCTAAGTGACCCAATATCAATTAAATTGAAAACATAATTAAAACCATCCTAAGAAAAGCATGGGTCCTGATGGCTTCACTGCTGAATTCTACAAGACATTAAAGAGGAACTACTGCTGCTACTGTTTAAACTGTTCAAGGAAATTGAAAAGGAAGCAGTACTCCCGAATTCATTCCTGGAAGCGAGCATGACCTTGCTCCCCAAAGCAGAGAAAGACCCAACCAAAAAAGAGAACTATAGGCCAATCTCACTGATGAAGATAGATGCAAAAATGCTCAATAAAATACTGGTAAACAGTATGCAGAAAGTCATCAAGAAGATCGTACACCCTGACCAAATGGGATTCCTCCCAGGGATGCAGGGATGGTTCAACATAAGCAAATCAATACATGTAATATACTATATTAATAAAGCTAAGGACAAAAACCATATGATCATCTCAATAGGTGCAGAAAAAGCATTCAACCAAATCCAAAACAAATTCATGATTAAAAAAAAAAACCCTACAGAAAATTGGAGTAGTTGGTCTCTACCTCAATCTGATAAAGCCATTTATGGAAAACCAACAGCCAATATCATACTAAATGGTTAAAAACTGAAATCCTTCACACTAAAATCAGGAACAAGACAAGGTTGTCCACTATCACCACTCCTGTACAATATAGTTTTGGAAACATTAGCCACAGCAATTAGACAAGAGAAAGAAATAAAAGGAATAAAGATAGGAAATGAAGAAGTCAAATTATCCTTATTTGCAGACCTCAAGAACTCCATTAAGTCTTTTAGACTTAAGCAAATTCAGCAAAGTACCAGGATACAAGGTGAGCACACAAAAATCAGTAGGTTTTCTCTACACGAAAAACAGACTCACTGAGAGAGAAATAAGGCAATCGATTCCTTTTACAGTAGTATCCAAATATTGAAGTACCTAGGAATCAACCTAACAAAGGAAATCGAAGAGCTCTACTCTGAACACTATAGCATTCTGAAAAAAAAAAGATTGAAGAGGATATCAAAAAATGGAAAGGCATCCCTTGTTCCTGGGTAGGAAAAATCAACATAGTGAAAAATGACCCCATTTCCAAAACTTGCTATATGGCTTTAGTGAAATCCCATTTGAAATCCCAGCAGCATATGTCAAAGACCTTGAGAAAACCATCCAAAAATTCACTTTGAATAAGAAGAGACCTAGAATAGCAAAAGCAATTCTAGGCCATAAAGACAAGGTAAGGGTCATGACAATCCCCATTTTGAAATTATACTACAAAGCTACTATGATAAAAACAGCATGGTACTGTCAAAGAAACAGATCTGGGGACCAGTGGAACAGATTAGAAGATGCAGAAACAAGTCCAGAAACACTCAACCACCTCATCTTCGACAAAGGAACCAAACCCCCTCACTTGAGGAAAGATACCATCTTTAATAAATGGTGCTGGAAAAACTGGGTTTCAACTTGCCAAAGATTAAATGTAGACCTATATCTGTCACCAGGCACTAAATTAAAATGAAGATGGATTAAAGATCTAAATATCAAAGTAGAAACATTAAACCAGCTGAAAGAGAGGTTAGGTACAATTCTTGAAAAGGTTGGTGTAGGAAAATATTTTATGAACAAAACCTCAGTTGCTTGTGAACTAACAGAAACAATCAACAAGTTGGAAGTCTTATTAAAAAGCTTCTGCATAGCAAGAGAAACAGCCAACAATATGAAGAGAACCCACAATGTGGGAAATAATTTATACCAGCTGTTACTCAGAGAGGTCTACTATTTAGAATAACTGAAGTGTTATGGAAGGAATTGGTGACACATATAGAGAAGCAGAATGGAAGTAAAATAAAAAAGTTTATTTTGATGACAAAGGTCGATCACACCTAAAAGCTGTGCTGGAGATTGACCACGGGAGTTTACCTTTAAGATTCACCTAGCTATCTGTCCTAGCCCATAGGAAGGTGTGTGTTCAGGGTCAGGAAAGCAAATGTTAACGGTCATTCTTTTCATCTCGACACTTTTCCAATTGTGTGGTTTACAGAACTTTGGAGCTCAGGATCTTGATGTGCCCTGTTATCTGAGTATAAGACCAAAATGCTTCATTTAGTCTTTAATGCCTCTGTTGTCTGTTACTTCTGAATTCAAAAAAGCAGACTGCTGTTAGAGATAGCAGAAACCTTTCTACATTTTGACATTTTGTAAGTTTTTTATTTACAAAAGTTTTCTCTAGCAGAAGAATTTAAAAAAATCAGACCTCCCAAATTTAAAGACCTAATCCAAAAACGTGCATGTGAGATGAACAGAAAATTCTCAAAGAAGTAGAAAGAGCAAATAAACATAAGAAAGAATGTTCAACATCATTGGTCATTCGAGAGATGCAAATGAAAACACTAAGATTCTGCCTCACCCCAGAAAGCATGGCTGCTGTCACGAAATTAATCAGTAATAATGCTGACTGGGCTGTAGACAAAGAGAAACCCTTCTGCACTGCTGGTGGCCATGTAGACTGGTACAACCACTGTGGAAATCAGTATGGAGATGCCTAAAAGAGCTAGGATTAGAAGTCCCATTTGACCCAGCTCTTCCCAAAGGCTTTTACAACAATGGTCAGGATGGAATGAGAGAAGAACTAGAGACAAGGGAAGTAAACTAATAAGAATACAATTTCAGTTGGTCAAAGAGAATAGGAAATACTTTCTCTACTTTGGTCAATTTTTTTTTTGAGTACTGGGTATTTATCTCATGGTCATTGCTGCTTCCCTAGCCATTTTTAGTTTTTTTTTAAAAAAATTTGGAGGTGATTTTGGAATTTACTTTTTTTTCTCATTGAGTTTATTGGTACATTTTAGGTATACAGTACAGTTACATTCATCATTGGGATCTTGTACCTTTACATGATGTATCTTGGTTCTCATTTTTTCCCCTTGTCCCTGCTCTCCCTTCACCCCATCCTCCCCTCCCCATTTACAAACATTGTATTTCTATTTTTTCATTTTATCCTATTTTTTCTTTCCCTTATTACCTTTCTTCTACCCTTCCCACTTGCCCTACACCTTTAGCCCTTTTCTTCCTATTTCACATTGTCAATTATATCATTAGGATCTTATGTACTATTATAGTTTATTCACACCAGAGAAACTATTCGGTATTTATGTGTGTGACTTATTCATTTCACTAAGGAGTATATCCTCGATATGTATCCATTTTCCTATGAATGAATCTAATTTCTCATTCTTTATGGCTGAGTAGTATTCCATTTTATAGGAAAACCACATCTTCTTTATCCAGTTTCTAGCTGATGGGCAAATGGCCTGTTTCCAAATTTGTGCTATTACAAACTGTGCTGCTATAAGCCTAGGTGTGCATATATCACTGTGATATGATTCTTTTAATTTTTTTGGAAAGATACATTTTGAATCAATTTCTTACTAAATCACTATGTTACACAGGCTTGGCATGAACTCATGATCCTCCTGCCTCAACTCACTAGACTGCTAGGATTATAAGCATAGACCACCACATCCAGTAATCTAGTCACATTCCTTCAGTGGGAAGTGAAAATGATAAGCTAATGTAGCGCAGGTTATGAGGTTTTCTAGACCTTTTGAATAGCCTCAAAAGAAGTGTACAAGAGAAAGACCGTATAGAAAGATAAATGCTCGTGTCCAAATATGGCCAAATATAAAGTGACATTTTTATATTTGCTGTAGAAATGAGTTTTACAATTGCTTTGTTGTTTTATTGGTGACGTTGTAAACATGAACTAGCATCAAAAACATAATAAGACTGTTGTTTCATAATAGTAGAGTTTTGAGGACAAACTAATAAAATACTTTGGAAGAATAAAAATTTTGCAAATCGCTTAAATTAAACATTTTTGATTTTCTTTTGTTAACAATACTGGATAGACCCTACAAAGCTACTGATATCAACTAATAGTGACTAGTATTTGAAAACAAGATGAAAGGCAGAGAGTGAATGCCACAAAAGACAAAGAAAAAATATACTATGGAAATTCAAAGAGGCAAGAAGTTACTGGAGTAAGGCACCTGGAAAAGTTAAATGTGATACTTAGTGTTAAATTGTCCCTTGAGAGTTTGGTAAGAGAGAATTATCATGTGACCCTGGAACTCACTAGTGCTTTCCCCCATTGCTTATAACTTCTTATCTTTCAGATGACCCAAACTGCACTTCTTTCATGAATGAATACTGTGTTCCTCTAAATTCATGCCCAATATGCTTTTTCCTTCAGGCAGAATACATCTTCCTTCTCAAAACAGGCACAGTCTACTTAAAGTACAAGAATACAACCACTATGGTAATCAATATGGAGATACCTCAGAGAGCTGGGGCTAGAGGTTCCATTTGACCCAGCAGTCCCTCTGCTCGGTATCTTTCCAAAAGAATTAAATAATCATATCACAGTGATATATGCACACCCATTTTTATAGCGGCACAGTTTGTAATAGCTAAATCTTGGAAACAGCCCATTTACCCATCAGTTGGTGACTGGATAAAGAAGATGTGGTTTTTCTATAAAATGGAATACTGCTCAGCCATAAAGAATGAGAAATTCGAGTCATTCATAGGAAAATATATACATATTGAGGATATACTCCTAAGTGAAATAAATAAGTCACACATGTAAATACCGAATAGTTTCTCTGGTGTGAAAAACTGTAATAGTACATAAGATCCTAATGATATAATGGACAATGTGAAATAGGAAGAAAAGGGCTAAAGGTGTAGGGAGAATGGGAAGGGTAAGGGAAAGGTAATGAGGGAAAAGAAAAAAATATGACAAAATGAAAAAATGGAAATAAAGTATTTATTTATTATGGACAAGGGGAAAAAATGAAAACCCATACCTGTCATGTAAAGTACAAGATCCCAATAATAAATGTATTGTACTGTATACCTAAAGTGTACCAATAAACTCAATAAAAGAAAAAATAACGATCAACTTCATGTGCCATTCCCTCCCATTGGCCTTTGCCTTGAGAATCTCTAGCCATATTTTACTTCAGTAGTATGTCTACTTGTCATTTTTTTTTACTACAGTATATGATACTTCAAATCCAGGAAAGCATCCAAAGTCACTTCAATCATTATTTCTAAGGTGTATTATTTTTCTGAGTTCTGACCAGTTTTTATGGACTCTGAGGCTGAGGTCAATTTTCTGATTAGAATGTGCCTAATTCATATTTTAACATGTAGATCAAGTTCATATGATTTAGGATAATAGTTTTTTTCTGTATCTATTTCAATATCATTGCACATAGGAAAATATTTTAATACTTTGAAATAACTATGTAATTCACATATTATGCTTTCTTTCTCTTTATATATTTTATTTGTATATCCTCTCATTTGTATTTCTTTTCTGTAAACTAGGCCATAGATATCTGTGACCCAAATCCAATCCTAATGCTCATGCTGTGTGCCTACATGTATGAAAGGCTCCCTGCATTCCTCCCCAAGGAGGTCGTGCCATTTTATTGTACTCTGTATGACTCTGTGCTTAGACAGGTAAGGGTGTGTTTTTTGCCAAAATACATATGACTAAATACTTAAAAAGTTATTTTAGATGTTTCTTACCCAACCAAAAATTAAGAAAAAAATGCCTATCTAATATGATATTGTTTGAATTGAATAAGCCATGCCAGTTATTACTCTTTCTAAGAAAATGGTCTAGAAGAGTGAAAGGGATATTTTTTGCTTAATAATAATCACTACCTGCAAAAAATGATGACTCAGTCTCTCTCATTCCTCTTTTGTAAAGAATAATTTATTCTTTTATACAAGCAAGTTTACCACTTTGATACAATTTGCATTTTCTTTCCCTTATCCTGTTTTATATATTCCTTTTCATATTTCATTGAAAAGAAAATTATATATGTTTGTTATAAGACTTGTCCACATTTGCCCTTTAAAAGATATGTCTTGGTGATCTTTACAATTATATGTTTTAGAAAATAACTGTGTGGCCTTACGATAATTTGAATGTTTGTTGGTAAGGATTTAGTTAAAAACAGGAAAATTTAGTCTCTTATCTTAAAAGTGTAGATGCCTCAATTTGGGGAAAGAAAAGCTTTCTCTTCTACATTTTTGTTTTAATAAAATAAGATGTGACCTCACTTTTTAAAAAAAATTTTTTAGAAAAAAAGAGATAAAACTGGAGATTTTCCTCCACAGTATTTACTATGGTAATCTCTGACAATAGTGATATCAAAAGACTTTTAGTGCTATCCAGCTTTGAAAGTTTTAAGTATATAGGAGAGTACATGGGCTTCAAAATAAAATTGATGGGGAAGCCCGGTGTGGTGGTGCATGCCTGTAATCCCAGCACTGGAGAGGCTGAGGCAGGAGGATTGCTGTGAGTGGAGACCAGCCTGAGCTACATAGTGAGTTCCAAGTTAATCTCAACTACACAGTGAGACCCTGTCTCAAAAACAAAACAAAACAAAAACTTTTAAATAAATGGAAGTACTTTGCTTAAGCTTTTAGGAGATGAGTTTCGATTAAGCAGTAATTTATTACAGTTAGCTATTATTAACAATTATCTAATCCTCTTTGTATTTCTTTATATCATATTTGCATTCATACAATGTATGTGTTTTCATTTTTTTGACTGTAGTTAATAACGGAATGAAGATATTGCTTAGTGGTGGAGTTTGCATGTAGCATGCATGAAACCTTCTTTCATGGAGGGCAGGGGAATGGGAAAAAAATAAGAACCAAGATATATCATGTAAAGGTACAAACTCCCAGTAAAGGATGTCAGCATATAGTATACATAAAATGTACCAATAAATTTAGTGAATTAAAAAAAGAATTTTATAATAAAATAATTAGAATCTGAAAAATTAATGTTGACATTAGTTTATAAATAAACATTAATTATGATGTTAAAGCATGTTTAAATGAAAAAGATGATTTATGCCCTAATTTATATTAGTAGAAATAATCTTCATATTTTCATGTTGTATTTAATAATGAAATACTTACTTTCACAAAAATTTTTGAAGACACAAAAATTTAAGTAATAATTGCATTTTTTAGAATTATAAAACTTAAATTAGAAATTTTGGTTTTGCCTTTTGTTGGAGAAAAACAGTGACCTGAAAATTGCTAAGAATCTTTGAAGTATTTTGTCTCTATGAATCAACACATTAACAACAGTGCCTAGGTCATAAAATATCCATCTTTCCAACCGTATCAACACTCTATAATTTAGAAAAATCATAAGAAATTGCTTGTAGGGTTGAAAAAAATTCTACTTGTCAGTAGTAAAAAAAAAAAATGATCAAATGTAGAATGTATTTTTTGAGACTTTTCTAAGCATTGTTTTCTTTTCCTTTTTGAAGTAAAATTTGCTCAAAGTTGAATGGGGTTATCTGACTACAAATGAACCCAATACCTTTGTGTCATATATCTGACATGACAAAATGAGGATGTTGTTTCTTTATTTAGTCTGGCAATGAAAATTCCAGGATTATAAACTAGTAGCAGTACACAGTAAATTTAATATGATTTTCCAAATTTTCCTCCAAAAAGGAAATAGTAATTAGCTTTCTAGGACTTAAAATCATTTTATCTGTTTATGAATACTTAAAATAAATATATCTTACCCTAAAAGAGGCTAAGCCAAGTATGATGGTGATTACCTATAATCCCAGCACTCTGTTCAAGCCTAGTCCAGGCAATTTAGCAAACTGACACAAATTAAAGGAAAAAAAAACAACAAAGCTAGGACATAGCTCATTGTAAAGGTCCGAGTTAAATCCCCTGTAAACAAACAAACAAATAAATTCATACATACGTATAATACAGCAGTCTTGTGTGCATTTTAAATTATATCTGTTTTTGAGCCATAGGAAATTCCTAAATCCTTGAGCCATAACAAAGAAATTACAGTCACAACACAGCTTCCAGTAGTTACCAAATCTCTCACTGAACTAAGAAAGTAGTTGATTTAATCGTTCACCTAATCTTTACAACGTTTTTCATTATTCACTATAACCATACATACTACCACTTTTTCACTCTTCAAATATCACACTTCAAATATCTGTGACCTGGATACAGGTCCTGGATTTCTTATGTTTCAGACACCTTTTCTTCACTCTAATTTGGCCAGTCTGTCCTTTGCCAAATCCCCTCCTTCTTCTAGGTCAGTGCTTTCCACAATGGGATCCCTGAATCTTGTTACAGAAAAAAATACTTTTGACTTTTGTTAAAATGGTAAGGCAGACTTTGATTCAAGACTGTATAGATACAGTGATTACTACAATGCAATTTTGGAAGAGAGAGATTGAGTTCAAGTCTGAATAACAAGGAAAAATAACAATTTATTGCCAAAGAAGGGGATGGGTAGTGAATAGAAACATACTAAGAGGAAAATTAAGTATAGGGTATAAGGTATAGGAATAGGTATAGGGTATAGGAAGATTCTGGTGAACTCATTATAACAGGATTTTTGCTAAAGGAGAATAAAATGGTCAGATTTCCCCCATGGAATGATGAAGGAGAAGGGATTTGATTCCTTATGAAGGATGACCAAATCATGAAAATGTGGATTTTGGCTAAACTGACGTAGCATAATTCTTACTAAAATTAGGCCCTTAAGGATATGCCCAAAGACAGGACCTAGTTGAAACTAAGCTGAAAGAATCATGACTAGAGTTTGGTCAGTGAGTTTGGTTTCCTAATAAGTTTTTTTGTTGGTTTGAGTTCTCATTATATTCTAAATAAATTCTTTGTATACATACAGTTTTTTAAAGACATATTCTCTTTAGTAGTAAAATAAATGATTCTCTAACATTCTCTGTATCTCTGGTTCAAGAAGAAAAGGAGAGCCAGTGCCTACTTAAACTACTGCTTCTACTCCAGACCACGTCTTCCTCAGCCTGGACTGGAGATATTTTTAAATCTATGTTCTATAAGAGTTTCTACACTGAGTAGCCAACTTATTCTTTTCATAAGGTTGAATTTGCAAGATCTGTGTTTAAAATATTCCAGTGATTTATTTTTGCAACAAAAATTAAGTCCACATTGCTCATTTTGATCAAATCTATGTTGTTCAGTTGATTTTTTCATTTTTTACTTTCCTCGTTGAAAACTCCTTTTTCCTTTCTATATCAGATAAACGACCCAGGTAGGTAGGTAGTAGGTAGTTAGAGAGACAGACAGACAGACAGACAGATAGGATTACTGTCATTGCATACAATGTCTGACTTTTTCCAGATAGTATAAATTTAACTATTTTCATGGTTAGAATGCCTAACTTTCTTTGACAAAAGTAATAATTATATAGTTATATGGTTTTAAAGGTAATAATGTCATTTACACTCTTTCCAACAAAGATTCTGCTGAAAAATACAAGCTTGCAAAACATAGTGTATCAAGCTACAATTGTTGGAAGAGATGCTGCTGATTTCTCTCTGGTTCAGAAAGGAAATATTGTAACAATTCCTCCACAGTAAGTGTTTTTCATAAAATACTACTTTATTGAACATATCAACCATAGAATTTTATATTCATTATAATTATAGATAAATGAATGTATTAAATATATGTAACTATATATAAATACATAATTAGTATAAGTAAAAATAAACAAATAAGGAAAAACACTCAATAAACATATATAAGGAAAGACAATAGATAAAATATATTTAAATTTTCTTTATTAGCGTAAGTTTACAATATATAACATTTATGTCTGTGTGGAGAAATGGTACATATATACATGTGGCATTTTGATCATTTTAATCTCCTACCAGTCTTCCCATTTTCCCTCTTCCTCAGATCTCCTTATGCATCTCCCCAAAGTCTACCTTTTTGTTTCCTATTATCTCTCCTTTATTCTGCTATTTTGGATATCTCATGTAAAAAAAACTATGTGATATTTGACCTTCCAAATCTGATTTATTTTACATAGAATTATGATCTCAAGATTCAATCATTTTCCTATAGATGACTCAAATTTATCCCTCTTTATGGCTGAGTAGTACTTGAATGTACATTTTCTTTATCTATTCAACCCTCAGTGGGCATATAAGCCACTTCTGTAATTTAGCTGTTGTGAATTATGCTGCTATAAACGTGGTTATGTATGTATCACTAAAATATGATGTCTTCAACTCTTTTGGTAAGATGTCCAGAGGAGGACTAGCTGGGTCAAATGGAATTTCTATTTTTAGTTTCCTGAGGAATCGGACTGTACTAGTTTACATTCCTACTATCAATGTAGAAGGGTTTCTTTTTCCCTCTTTGGATTTGTGGTATTTTTGAGTTTATGAAGCTAGCAATTCTTCCTGGGGTAAGGTGGAATCTCAGTGCTCTTTTGGTCTTCATTTCTCTAATGGCCAAAGCTTCTGAACTTTTATGATGTACTTATCACCCATGTATATAGTTCTTCTTTTGAGAAGTATCTGTTCATCTCTATTGCCCATATTTTATGATTGGGTCATTTTTGGGGTGGTAATTTATTGAGTTCATTATATATTCTAGATGTTAGTCCTCTGAGGAGCAGTAGACAAAACTCTTTTTCCCATGCTCTATATTGTATCTTCCCTCTGTTGATCATTTCCTTTGCTGTACAGAAGCTTTCTAATTTGATATAATCACATTTTTTGTTTCATGATATTTTTTGTGTCATTGGGGTTTTATTCAAGAAGTTTTTGCCTGTGCCTAACACAGATAAAATATTTATTTTCTGAGTTGCCCCATTAATTTTGTTAAAACGATTCTAACAGCACCAATAGCTGTATGTTAGTGTATGCATGATTTTATCTTTCATATATATGAGTCAAAGAGATAAAATTAAAAGTTATTTGATTATGTACTGTGGTTCTATCCACTGCTTTCTGGATTATAAAAGAATACCAGAATGAAACCTTCTGGAAAGAACTTACCATTTTCTATGACTATAAATAAATTTTTTACATGTGTATAACTGTGCTGATACAAATTCATTTGGATATTATTATAGGACCATATGTTGTCAGAGATGTGAAAACATAAGGTGTATTCTCCACTTTTCAAGAAGTATAAGAGGAATGATTATATTTCCCCCACCTTACTTATAAATCTAATAGATTATCCCATTATTTCAAAGTTCACATTATGTAGATATTCTTTTATAATCATACTACTTGTCTGAAATTTTAGTTTAAGATCATTTTTCCTTTTAAATAAAATGAACTTTTATCATTTTTATTATAAATGTAAACCTGCACATTGTAAAATATTTGAGTTACAGAAAAATGTACAGAAAAAAGAAACACCTAGGATCATATGAACACAGTCTCTTAGTTCATGTCCTTCTAATCTTTGGTATGCATTCTAACATGGATGATGTTTTCATAACAAATTAATTATTCATGAAAATATTATATATTGAATTTAATAAATACTGTATATAAAATCTGTATACCATATTTTATATGTTTTTATAATCTTCCTAACACCCCCACTGTTGTTACAAACAAAGATATCACAAAAGAAGGTGAGCTACAAAAGGATTAAGATAAGGATTAGTTGCTGAATTTTCCCTGGTATTAAATGATGAAGTAGAGATTCAACATAAGTCAATATAAATCCAGAGCTGGAATTTCTATTAAATGGACACCTGCATATACAGTGTTTGTGTTACGTGTGTGAGTATATGAATGTCTGTATTATGTTCAATAAGTACCTTCTGATTCAATGTCATGTAATTTTGCTTTCTTGTAAGCAATCCTAAAGTACCATGAGAAGGAATTGTGTCTTTGTTTGTGCTACCATAAAATACTATAGACTGGGTAAATTACAAACAGTAGCATGTTATTTCCCACATTTCTTAATAATGAGAAGGTTAAGATCAAGCCCAGCCAGATCTGATATCTTGTGAATGTCTATTTTCTGGTTCTTAGAGCCTTCTTGGTGTGTTCTTGCATAGTAGAAAAGTTGAGTCAGTTTTCTGGAACCTCTTTTATAAAGATACTAATCCTATTCATGCTCTTAGGTCTAGTCACCCAAAAGCTTCATCTGCTAATATCATCATGCCGATGATTATTTTTTCTTTTTCCAACTTTCTTGAAGTAAATTTGCAAATAAACATCATATACATTAGACAATGTATTTTAATATTCATTGTGAAACAATTACTACAATAAAGCTAAGGGATATGTCTATCACTTCGCATAGTTCCTATGTGTGTGTTTGACAGTGTAGAATACTCAAATCCACTTTCTTAGTAAACGTCGAGTATAAAATACATTATTATTAACTATAGTCAGCATAATGAACACTTAGGTCTTCCAATGTATTCAACTTTCATCTGAACTTTTGTATACTTTAACTAACAGTTCCCTATTTCCCCACTATCTGACTCAACGTGGCTCCTTTTTGGTAGGAGTCAGGGTATAAAAGTTTCTTCCTTTTTCAGGAGTGTGTGACATGGATGAGTAATGGTCAACTCAGTGGCAAAATGTAGCAATATCTTCTGTGGGGCAGGCCCATTGGGACCTCAGTGGCCCCCACTGTGTAGCGAATAATGATTACCCTTGCCTTCTTTGTTCTACCCATTTCCAGGCATTTTCCATATACTTGTCTCTCCAGCAGTTATTCTGTGAAATTATTCTGAGGGTTTGGCTCTATGTGCAGATTCTTAACTGGACCCTGGAGCCTTCTCTGCGATATCCTGTTTTCTTGATCACTGTCTAATTATTGATTATTATGGAGAGAATGGAAGTTGATATTTCATACTTTGCTGATGACATCCCTCTGGTGATTAGATTTTTAACACATTAATTTTGAGGGAACACAAGCATTTAAACTTATCATTTTTGTTTATTTTTATTAGTACCTGTGTGTAGGGCATAATGATTGCATTTATCCTGGGGTGTTGGTACATGTACATAACACCGCTTAATTCTTTTCTATGAGATTTTACCCAGATTATCTTCTTTTTTAATATGCACCTCCCCATTGTCACAGACCCCACTATCCCGTTGCACAGTCAACTCTACACATTTAGGTATTGTTCAAAGAATATCTTTACTTCTAGTGACAGTTTTCTATCTGATTCCATTTGGATAACGTTAGCAAAATACGATAAACCAGTCAAATGACAAAAAAGATGCCATTTATTTGTAACAGTTCTGGAGGCTGAAAAGTCAGAGGTAAAAGTGCCAGCAGATTCGGCATCCATAAAGAGTCTGAGTTGTTTCATAGACAGTGTATACTCAGTGTTCTTACATGGTGAATGTAACAAGGTAGTTTGCTGGGGCTTCTTTTCTGAAGGTTGTAATCCATTTATAAGGGCTCTTCCTTCGTGTTCTAATCACCAACTAAAAGCTACTATTCCTAGTATCACAATGGTAATTAAGCTTTTGACATATAAATTCTGAGGGGAACAAAAACATTCAGCCCATAGAAAATTATGTAAGTTTTGTTTCTTCAAGAGGTGGTTTATGAAACTTAAATTACTTGGATGAACCTAACAGATCATTTCCAGTTAACTTTTCGTCAATGCTTTCTTTCCTTCACTTTTTCTACTATTAACAATTTTTGCGATACTTCTTGAAGTTTTCATATTTTTTGTTTCTTTTTTTCTTTGTTTATTTATTTATTTATTTATTTTTCAGGTAGGGTGTCAGTATGTAGTTTAGGCTGGGCTTGAACTCACTTTGTACCTGAGAGGATGGATATTGAGCCATAGATGCAAACACCTGAAACTAGGCTTTTATTAGGGGCGCAGGGTGTAGAGGACAAGATGCCAGGCTATTTCAGACAATGGCAAGAGCAGCAGGGAGGGGCTGCCTGGGTGAGGTTTTATATGGGTTAGGGGACAGAGTGGAGGTACATGTTTGGCTGCAGCCAGAAGTGAGGTGTAAATCCATTGGCAAATTTAAATTTCCCGGTGGGAAGGACTAGAAGTGGGAGAGCTTTATGGCAGGAAAGTTGGGTCTTTGTTTCCCCAGAGTGATTTATTATCTGCAGAGAAGAGCCATTTTGGATGTGGGGTTAGGGCCATTTTATCTAGCAGGGAACTCTATCAGTACCTTGGGCTGGCCTTGAATTTGCTGCAGTCCATTTGCCTATGCCTCCAATGTTAACAAATATGTAATGTCTTCTTTTCCTTTTTCATTAGCATTGGCTTAAATTCAATTTTGTCTGAAAATAGGATAGTTACTCCTGCTTGTTTCCAGGGTTATTGTTGCATGGAATATTATTTTCCATCCTTTGATTTTTAGTTTATGAGTTTCTTTTGTAGTTGAATGCATTTTTTTGTGTACAGTATTTTGGATTTTGTTTCTTGATCCACCCTGCTAATCTGAATTTTGATTGGAAAATTGAATCCATCTACATGGATAGTTATAATTGATAGGTGTCAACGTATACCTGCCCTTGTGTTATTTTCCTATTGGTATTTAGGTTTCTTTGCATTCTGCTTATTTGCTAGGTTTACCTGATGCATTCATTCCATTGGAC